AAAAAGAAAAAAAAAAAAAAAAAGAAGTGGTCTGCTTACAGAATTTTGCGATACCATTAAATGGAAGACAGATAAGGCTGACGCACCACTTGTACATTTTCAGAAACACCACGTAGCTTCTGGAGACCCCCTAGACAGTGTCTTGGCTTGAGATTCCTCTAGCGGAACATCCATTCGTCTTATGAGAGAAACAATGGAAACGCCTTAATAGTCAACTGATTTCGAGTTAGCTTGGGTCGTTCAAAGACAAAGACTGACCTGTAGGAGGTTTTGGAGCAGACAAAGGTCCAAGAGACCAGGCTTTTCAAACCAGGGGCATGTGGTTGAAAAATATGTGTGTGCGTGTGTGTGTGTTCATTTTATTTCTGGAGAAATTGCTCCCTGGTGAATGAATTGTCACCACTTTTGAAGAATAATTGTCCTCTGATGGCGAAGTTTTAGCAAAGATAGAAAATATAACACAGCTCTGCTGGTTAGATGCATCCAAATAAGGTTGATTTAAAAAGGTCAGACTTTCATAATTATTCCACAGAAATAATAATTATTAAATCACAAAAGTTTTTTTTCAATGTTTTTTGTTTTTGTTTTTTTCCTTTAACTTTCTAGCACTAAAGTGGCACAAAGGCTGCCTACTAGGCCAGCCACTTTTTTTTGTTTTTGTTTTTTTCTTAAAATATTGTGCTTATAAACTATCTATACACAACTATTTAAACTTGCAGTCAAGAAAGAGAATTTAAATTGCTAAATATGGATTCATTCTAGGGCTCTCCCGGACCTAACCAGACTCTCGATTGTGAGCATAAAGAAAACAAAAAGGAAAAAGGTAAGAAAAAACAAAATACAAACTCATGTTTTATAATTAGAGATGGGCTGGGCTAGTTCTGAAATAGGCATAAATCCCAAACCCTGACATTGGAATATGTTCCCGATGTGGGGGAAGGTGCTGGAAGCTTGGCGGGGTGTTTTTCGGCCCTTGTGCAGTTGTTGGTCTCCCTGGGGGGGATCAGAGGTATAGTCAAGGGAGGAGGGGCTCCTGGGAGAGGAGGGGGCAGGCCAAGACCAGCACCCAGGAGACCTGTCGGCTCTCGCCGCCTGCCACCCACCTTCCGTTCTCCACCATGAGTCCTGTCTACACCCCATGGCCAGGGGGTCCTCGGAGAACCCGGTGTACTATTAAGACACACTGGTGGGATTCCTGGACAGCCAGAGAGAAAGGAAAAAAACACCCCTGAGGTACCATCTTCCCTGGCCTCAGACAGCCAAAGAGCTTGCTGCCAGCCAGGCTGCCAACTGAGGGAGCTGTGGGGCTCTGGGGCAGCCCTGCCATCCGCCCGGCCTCCCGTGTTCTTAGCGGAGCTCACGCGGCTTGGATTGAAAAAGGTAGGGCTGCTCACCCTCCCAGACAGACCCTCCTGGCAGACAGACTTTCCAGGAGACTCTCGACCCAGCGCCACACAGACAGGGTGGCCCCACCCTTGGAATCGTGACTTTGTGCTTTGACTAACTCCATGTGACATCGGTTTGGCCACCTTGGAAATATGCGAGTAGATTTGCAGAAAGAAAGAAAGAAAGTTAAGCAAAGCCGGACACGATCCCTGTTTCCCGAGGGGCCACCTTGCAGGAGGACACGGGGCCAGGAGTCTGATTAGAAAAAAAGAACGTCTCTCTACCTTTCAGGTCCAAGGTGGGGCACCAGGTAAACCTGCCTGGGGCCTTCTCGATGCAAGCCAGGTACGAGAATGCACAAGAAGGAGTATCACTGAGTGGTCACAAGGACGAGGGAGGGCCTGTGCTGGGGCGGGGAGGTATCTCGAGTACACTGCGTCTGCCTACGAGAGCTCGGTCAACGGCGGAGCCGCTGGGACCCGGCCAAGCGAGGTCACCCGCATGCTGGAAGGCAGACCCTGGATCTCTTGACATGTTAGAAAACCCCCCTCCCCAGCCCCACTGGACAGAAACTGCCCCAGAACTCCACACACAGAGAGAGCCCGGGGTCTCATGACACCGTGGTCAGATGCCACGCTTCTTTGGGTACTAGGAGACAAACCCGTGGGGTGGGGTTGGTACACACAGAGCTCGCGGCTCGCCAGCTATTTCAGCATAAGCCCATCTCTACTTATAACAAGTCCCTAATGTCACAAGTAGCTGCCCTTATCTGTCCAGCAGCTGTTTCAAAGCCCTTTCTAGATTCATTCTGTGTCCGACTCGAGTCACCCCAAGATCAATGAGGTCTTCCTTCTGAAGGTTTGGTAAATGGCTGCCGTCAATTTCATTGTCCATGAAGGTCTCTTTATGTTCTCCCAAGTTTAGACTTTCCAGCCAATCGGCCACATCTGCTTTAGTCCACAGGTGCACGGGCTTAGTTGTAAAAGGCTTATTAGAAATTGGCTGTTGCAGGATGGAGGGTGATGGTGACCGGCTGTGACCCACGGGATTCAGGCCGAACAGGTCCCCGGAAGGGGGCTGGCTTGGAAGGCTAAAGACATCCGAGAGCGTGGGGGAGGGAGACGGGGCTGCTGCTGACGGAGGGGTGGGCAGGATCTCTTTGTTTATCTCCGTTGGCGAGACCACAGGGCTGGGGGCACGTCTTGTTCCTGAGACCCTGCTCTCGTAGTCCGGGGGCCGGCTCTGCAGCGTGATGGGCTGGGAGGTGCCAGGGCGAACAGTGAAGGTGACTGTCGTGCTCCGGGTCCCTGAGACAGTGCTCATGACCTCCGAGCTTCTGAAACAGCAACAAGAGAGAAGAGGGTCACAAGGCCGGTCCCCAAGGAAGGGCTGAGGCGAAGGTCAGCCAGGAAGTGGGCACATGAGCCAGGAGGAGTGCTGAGAAGGACTGGGTGGCAGACACTTCCCGGGAGACACCAAGGCCTACCAGCCCAGCCCGCTCACCTGGACCCAAGGAGAGGAGCTGGGTGGATGTGAGTGGGGGGTATGAGAGGTGAGAGGCAGGGGCAGTGGACAGACAAGCCTGCAAACAGGGCCAGGATGAGGTCCTTCTCCCACGGTGGAATGAGGGTAGCGAGGTCATCAGTGCCTCTAGAGACATCGCCATCGCTCCCCTTGGTCTCAGCAAGTAGGAAGGAGCAAAGCCCCGATGGGCCGTCCCAGGCTTAACATTGGGGGTGCAGAGAAGGGCCTCCCAGGGCACCCCGCTCAGTAAGCGGAAGCTTCTTGGGAACACTGGAAGTCTGACAAAGTTGTCCGCAGACCCAGACAACCAGAGCCAGTTTGTCCCTGTCGTCTGTCCAGCGGTGCCTGGGTTGTTAGCCCCTCACGGAGCTCGAGGGAGATGCTCATGCACTGTCCTGGAAATAAACTGTTCTCCCAGGGGTGGCTGATGGAGTCCTTGGGTGTCCGCTTGCACCCTTGGTACTAAAGCGAGGAGGGATTACGACGTCTAAGACCCCCGGAGATGGCTGGGTGGGTCCCTAGTCCTTGCCCTTACCGAGATGAAGATGGCCTGGTTCTCCCTATGGGCCTGACCAACATCCGGGGCAGGCTTTCTAGCTGCATCCCAAACTGAAGGGCATGTCTATCCCTCTGACCCAGAGAAAGGCCTCGGCCAGTGGGAATGTGGCGATTATGGGTACCTGACTCTCCCTTTCAGACTCATCCCACAAGTGAGATGTGTGTGAGTCCCAGCTCGACCAAATACCGGAGGACGCACGTTGCCAGTCTCCCAGTATTCACGTCTTCCTACTTGAGACGGTGATGTGAACCGAGGCCACTGAGCAGGGCGGCTCAGGGCTGACGGGAGGTGGTGGCAAGGGGTGGGATGCTTGAGGGTGTGGATGTGTGGGGACGGCACCAGAGGGCAACTTGCTGGACCCTCCACTTCCCATCTTCAGCCAATTTCACCAACTCGACTGGGACGGTCTTTTGAGATCTGAGGTCCCCTACGAGGTCAGAGGTTTGAAATGACCTGCTGAGCCACCATCTTTGTGGGGCTGCCATAGATGGACTCCCCTCTGACATTTGGATACACATGGAACCACTGGGGAGTCTCTGAATTTCTCTGAAGTCATGTTTCTGCCCTGGTAGCTCCACTGCACGGAGGAGACTGGAATGAGCTAGAATCACCACAGAGGGAAACTGAGGGGTGTGAACCAGAGACAGGTCCTGATGGGCCCCTGTTTCTCCTCCTAGGTGCATCCAGCTGATGTGGACTGGGGTGGAAACACTAGTTGGTTATGGGGGAGTGACACGCCCCTACTTGACTTCCTCATTGTTATGGTCAGAAAAGCCACAGCAGTTCTGAAGGGTGTCCTGGGTCCCAGAACGGGGTGTGTTAACAAAGAGGAGGGGCCGCCGGATACAGTCTGTCCCGGGGCTGCACCAACACGTAGAAGATAGGACTCCGTACAAGTATCAAAAGCAAGAGGGGGGTGCGGGGTGGTGGTGGGCCTTAGCTGTCCCACGCAGGGAGAGCAGTCTATGTATCCAGACTGGGGGCTCTGGGAACAGGTGGGCTGTGCGCACAGCGGGGACCTGAGAAGAAACCCACAAACCACTCCCCTGTCCGGAGCACAGCAGCACTGAGAGACCGACTCCAGTCCAGCTGAAGCAGGTGTGGAATGCTCTCTGCCCAGGAAGGCCTGCCTCAGTTTGCACCACGGCCACCAAGCAGAGCCGTCTGGGGGGAGCTCATTCGTTCCAGTTTGATACAACCATAAGCTAAGATGGTCGAGTTGGAATCGTGAATGCGTACAAAGTAGGGTACATTCAACAGTGGTTGCTGGCGTCGGTGAGGGCCGTGCGTGGATCTTGGGGGAAGAGGGAAGATGTTTTGCAAAGTGGGGGAGCATCCTGCAAGGTGATTTTAGCTTAGGTGAGATCTGGGCACCTGGGTAACCCCAGGTCTGCTGTGCCCAAAGCTAGCTTTGCATGGCGACTCTGTGTGGACCCCACAGAAGAGCCTGGTTGGGGAACGACCTTGTTGCACATCAGGCTTTGAGAAGCAGAAAGCAAGCGAACCCCCAAAAGTGGTAGCAAGTACTTAACACCCGAGCAGTCATGATCGCTGGGGACCGCCGAGCCAGAGGACGGTCGCCCGGCCGTGTTGCAGGGAGGTCGGGAGGAGGCTCTGCGGGCGGTGAGCGAGGAGAGAGAACCCAGAGGAGACGCACACAGCAGGGCTCACTCAGCTACCTACAGGCACTTACTTCCGTTCAGCACGACCCTCTTCGGATCACACCCACCGTGGGAGCAAATGAAAAGGACAAAACGGAAGGACTTGAGACAACACTGCAAAAAGGAATTAAAGGGGGAACAAAATAAAAAAGCAGCGGCTTTGCACCCGGGGATGCACAGAAAACGTGGGCGGAGCAGACGTCTCCGGCGGCGGCGAACCTGCGCCCGCCCCGCCCTTTCCGACGAGGACGGAAGTCAGAGCGTCAGCTCCTTCCGCATCAGAAAGAACCCCAAGTGCACAGCCTCGCCTTCGCTGGCCTAGGGTCATGCGCATCACGTGCGAAGAAGGACCAGGGGAAGGAGGACGTTAAGAGAGGACATTGCACGGCCACTGGCCTCCGCTTGAAGGTCTCTGGGAACCAACCTGGCTGCTGAGGCCTTAACTCCGCTCCGATGATTCCTTCCTCTCCTGCTGCTTACAAGGGGCCGGCCCCAGGCTGTGTGTTTTAACCCAAGTCTACAACAGGACGTGGTGAACAGCAGCTACTGATGAACAAGACCGCCGGGGTGCATGGAGAGCAGAGGGCAGGCCTGCCCCGGGCCAGCCCACCGGCCCTCCACTGTGGCTCCATATACCATGTGCTTTTCATTAATCCCAGTGATGCCATTCTCTGGATCCGCCCCTGCACAGATCAGCACGTTCAGCACGTTGCTTAGCAACCACTGGGTGTCTGGGCGAACACGTGGCAAGTGGCAACCCTGAGTTAGTGCACGCACCCCCCCCCTTATACGCGTGCACACTCTCAGACACAACCACTATTATAACTCACACAGCAACATCCTCACATATTCACACCCACAGCCTCACAAACACACACCCACTGACACCCAGTCATACACATTCACACTCACACCAAAATATTCACACATGGACATCCTCACATATTCACACCCATGTACCTATACCCCCTGCCAACACACCCACACCTATTCACACCGCCACACCCTCACAAACACACACACTTGCACACTCAGACACGGACTCACACCTCTACAACCACTAACACACACTCACACACAAACACCCCTCCTACCTCACACACAGAAATATCCCCCACACGCCCACCCCCATAAGCCCTCCACACTCTACAAACACCCCCAGAAACACACTCCCCTGCACACTTTCACAGAGTCAGCTAGCCACTGTCCACCCTGTCTTTAGAACCCATGTGGACCATGAGCATTCTCCACAGATGGGCAGCGAATGACCACCACTCAGGGGTCGGGATGGAAGAAGTCAATATTCAAGAAATGTTTCCCTGCTTGCAGATCACATGTGCCTGGCACACAGCAACTGGCACAAAGTTGTAGAGAGAGCCCTTGTGGTCAGGGCCCACGAAGCCAAGCCCATCTCTGGTGTTTGTGTCCGGACGCACGCTGGTGGGGTCCCTGCCTTCTGCTTACTGTCCCGTTTTAGGACAGACCCCCACCTGGTATGCTAGTGCACTGAAGCCACAAGTTGCTCTGTGTCATCCTGACAGGTGGGCACCCAAGTCCCCAAGCCCAATGCTGTCCAGTGCATTCTGACTCAAGCAGAGCTGCCCCAGAGGTTTACCGAGACTGCCTCATCTTTCTAGGTGGGCGCCCTGGCTGACCAGACATGCCCGTGGCCTGATGTGGTTCTGGAGTTGACACCGTTTGCTGGGCTGTGCCTCTCCTGTATCAAGTCAGGGTGTTGCTTCACTTGCTCCTTCTTGACCATGAAGGCGTTGGGCCAGGATGACGGGATGACGCTTGGAGATCTGCTCAGGAGACTGCGGGGCTGGAAAGGAGTCTGACTCTTGAGATGGCTGAGTGGGTTAGCCCATCATATTCATGGGTCTCCTCACAGCAAACCCACTCCAACCAGCTCCGCCTCGAGTCCCTACCGACAGAGGAGAGCTGCCCCAAGGGGTTCCCGAGACCGTCAGTCTTGATGGGAGCAGACACCCTCTTCTGTCTCTCACGGAGTTACTGGAGAGTTAGAACTGCGCACCCTGAGGTTGGCATCCTAGTGTTGAACCTACCACTCCCCTTAAGTTGTGCATGCTCCTCTTTGCAGGAAAATTGGGAGGTGGTTTTCCTTAATGATGAATATGATACTTTCTGACCCTCACTTCTCATGACCTCGGCCCCCCCCCCCCACTGGCCCTGGGCACCATAAGAGAGGCTTTGTCTCCAGTAAACAACTGTTGACTGAACCACTGGCGGCCAACTTTGCGGAAACACCATCCACGCAGCGACACTCTTGCTGAATGGGCCTCCAAGCAGACAGGAAGTGAAACTGGAGAGGTGGGTTGTGAACTGGCCACGTGAGGAGTGCAGACAGCATCCTGTCGGCCTTGCCTGTCACTTGGTGAGAACACACGTGGAAAGCGGGTTATGTGGTCCCCTCTGATGAATGCTCTCCTAATTAGCTACGGTTTCCTTCACGGGCAACACCTTAGCATCTCAACTGGGGCCGTGAACTGATACAAAGGCTGTAACTCATGTGGGGGCGGAGGGTATGAGAAAGTTGTGAATCTATTACCCAGTTAGTTCTGAAGTCCATAC